TCTACCTGGTAGACGACGATTCCCGCTCCGATCTACTTTCTCGAACTGCCATTTGAACTCTCTTTTGATCATGATCTGATCCGCCTGGTAAATCATGATCTGCCTTTTGGTCATGACACCTGGTACCGCCGCTTTGAACTACCTTCTGATCTACCTGGCAGGTTATGACCTATTTTCTGGCCTACCTTTTTGATCTACCTGTAGACCATGATCTGTCTTTTGGTCTATTTTTTCGTACAACTTGATCTGTGTGGTCATGATCTGCCTTCTGATCTACCTGGTAGATCATCACCTGTTTTTTGATCTACTTTTTTGATCTACGCGGTAGGTCATGGTCTGCCTTTTTGGCCCACCTCTTGATCTCCCTGGCACGTCATGGTCTATTTTATGATCTACCTTTTTGATCTCGGTGGGTCGTGTCCTGCCTTCTGATCTACCTGGTAGGTCATGGTGTATTTCTTGACCTACATTTTTGATCTAGCTAGTACTACCTCTTTGAACTGTCTTTTGACCTACCTGGTAGGTCATGACCTATTTTTCTTCCCACCTTTTTGACCCTCCTGGTAGATCATGACCTATTTTTCGTCCCATCTTCTTTATCTGCCTGGTAGGCCAGGTAGGTAAAAGAGGTGGGACGAAAAATCTAACTGGTGGCTACCTTTTTAATTTACCCGGCAGGCTGTAATTTTCCTTATGATTTACCTGGCAGATCATGATCTACCTTTCGTTTTCAGTATGTCATGATTTATGTTTTTGGTCCGTCTGGTAGATCGTGACCTACCTTTTAACCCACCCCTTTGGTCCGCCTGGTAGATCATGATTTACCTTCTGGTTTATGCTTTTGGACTATTTGGCAGGTCAAAACTTTCGAACTGCGTTTTTGATCTGTGCGTAGATCAAAGTTTTTAATCTGTCTTTTTTTTTAATCCACCAGGTGAAAAAAGGTTTTTCATCCACCTGGCAGGTCATTGCTTCTGACCTGCTTTTTTGCCTACTCCTGACCCACCCTGATCTGCTTTCTACCCACCCTCGTCTACTTTTAATCTGCTTTCGATCCCCCGCTGGCCTACTGACGGAGTTCTGGTCTACCTCTACTTCTGACATACCCTTGGTCTTCCCGCCTTTGTTCTAATGTTGCCTGTGTCCGTGCCGTTGTGATATTATATCTGCGCTTTGTGTGCATTGGCGTGTGTGTGCATTTGTCTGTGTCCACGCGTGTGCCGCATTTCTGTGTTTCTCCGTGTATTTACGTATATGCCTGCAAGTGTGCGTCTGTGTCCGTGTTCGTGTTTGTATGTGTCTGTGCGTGCACTGATTTATGCTCTAGTTTTGTTCTACAACTGACCTACTTCTACGTTACTGCAGGTACACAACGATCAGGAAGCACAGTGGTACATGTCAAGAATTGCGCGAGATGGCTATTCGGCACTTGGCCGCGGCGCCGTTAATCTTAGATTAAATTCGGCCTACATTGCACAAAGCTACGTAACGCATGGTTGGCAGGCTCTGTCCGGTTTTGATCTCGATAAACTTCTCCACTTCTACACAATTGCCGCTTTAATTGCCGAACACAAGGAGCCCTCACTTATCGCGATTTGTCGGAAATATGATCCAAAGTTAACGACAGTTTTTTTTTTTAAAATTCCCCACTGGATTATCCTCTGCCCCAGTTTCATTAATTATAATTTAGCAAATGACTGCAGCTGGCGAGCACGTTGCTTGCCTGCCATAAATGTTGTGTTCAAAGCTGTTGGGGAAATGGCTAGTTTGTCAGCGATTCTTTCAGCGATTTTCGCAGTAAATTGGTGCAGGTAAAATTGATGTCAGCTTGCTTCAGTGTTACTTCACGCATTTCAACGACGAGTTGTCGGCACGTGCTGTCAGTCCGGCTATTTCCGAGTCTCTACACTTCATGCAATTTTCTACGCGCGGAGTAAAATAAGGGACTTTTGATCTTGACTTTGCGTCTAAAATGGTCCTGACTTGCTCATCTGCACTCCCCAGTTTGTTAGTTTTATCGACTCACCTGTGGAAGGAACTGCTGACGAATAAGCATTGGCACGCCTAGCATACCGGAAGGTCAAACAGCCTTCAGCTTGATTCCAGACAGATCATGGAAAAGGAAACCGTCAACAATTACGCCACCACTTCGTTACTCAGACTACTTTCGGGTATCCCATGGTGTTTGTTTTCTACAAGGATGAGTATACGTGACCATTTTGTTCTAATTCAACTATTCCCTAGACTTCTAATGCAATTGTTTGTTTACGATTTATAAAAAAAATACTTGGAGCTGATTCTTATACATTTGCAGCGAAAAATTCATTCTCAGTGTATCCATTATTGCTGATATCGAGTGCTGCCCACATACTCCACCACCAGAACCAGGTACAGCTCGGAAAATATCGACAAATTTGCCGACGGCAGTTACGCGACCACTCGCATTCTCACTGAAGCCAGCGCAGTTATCACCATCGACGGTCCTACATGAAATCGCTGTTACCAGTTACAGCCCAAACGACCAGTTCCGTTCTGCCGTGCCAACCGAAGTTTAGTGAAAAAACAGTGGCGATGATTTTCTATGACACAATAAACGGTTTAAATTCTAGTTCTGCTTTGTTAAGATTGTGGCGTTATTAAAACCCTAGGGGTACAGCTTTTGGCAGGCATTTCTGCTAGCCTATTCGGTTCGGAAACGGAACCGCTGGAAAACTCGGTATTAGTAAAAAACCAACTCATGTGCCAGTTTTCTGTCAAAATCCAACAAACTGTTTCGGTTAAAAAAATTTAGCCGCCAGTCAAAATGTATACCAATTTGCAGAACTAACGGTTCAACAAGTGGGTAGCCTGGCCAAAAAAACATCCAATATTGTTTCCAGGATTAATAAAGAGTTGATTGCTTGTTTTTATTGTTCCAAATTTTAATTTACTTTCCAACTAAAATGATACTCGGGGATTTTGAAACAGAAAGAACACTCTCATCGTTAGATCTCGCGTGATGATTATCAGAGTACATGCGGTACCTCGTCTCTTTATTTCACTGTGAAACACTGAAATTTTCCAACCCAGGGACGACTGGAAAGGGAAGAGAAGTAGGCCTTTGCGTTGTTTCTTGTAAGCTTGTGCTTTTTACTGTGGGAGATCATCATGAAGCATGCACTTGCTGACTATTGGCATTTGGCTGCCCTGAACAGCTTATACTTGTCGAAGGCTTTCCGCCCAAAACTTCACCCTCATTCAGCAAATGCTACCTTACTTCCCACCGAACTGACTTATTAAGTGCACATATCACATGTCATGTAACATATCTACTGTGATTTGGCTTGCATATAGCCACGATAAATATCCGACTATACTCTTGATGACAACGCTGCTACAACATCACATCATCATTACTGCTACCAACATTAGTTATTACTGTAGCTAAGCAGTCCTGGGTTGTGATTTTGGCTTGTCGTCTTAAGCAGTCGTACCTGAGACTCAGGAGGATGTTAAAGTTCAATTAAAAATGTTTGTAAAATCCTATTTTTCTAGATTTCCAGTTGCAAATGGGTGACGAAGTACACAAAAACAGTCACATACATACATACACACACACACAATCGACAACATACGTTTTTTAAACTGCATAAGTAAAAACGCATAATAATAAACTCGAACCTACGGCGTGTCATAGTCTATATCATCATCATCTCTTCTTGACAAGATATTGCTCAACCGATGCGATGTGGCATACATCTGCTGAAGACGGTTCATTTCAGCTGCTTCTGCTTCCTGTTGCTCCTGGCGAGCCTAGAATTTTTTTTTTTTTTTTTTTTTTTTTTT